AAAATGTGACTATTTTGATTAAAAAAAAAATTGTATGTCCCCTCCGATGGTGTATGCTCATATGGATGCAGTTGGTTGGTATACTTTTGTAAAAAGAACAGTTGGGTGACTTTCCCAGCATCAATTTGAAAAAGCTAAACAATGGATTAAGCTCATCTTTCTTACCACTGCTTCTTGTCAAAAGGACACAATAACTCCTGAATTTTACCATGTTTTTGCTACCTGCACCTGTGATCCAATTTTACCAGGAGTGCAAGTTCCCTTGAAATTACATAAGAATCACAAAACAGAATTTCTGAAGTCAGATCTTCCCTCTCTTACCCCCAAGATAATATCAATTTAATGGATTGGGATATCAAGAAGATTAATTAACTAGTATGCCAGACAGCTCTGCACTGTATAAGTGCTAATTCTGGTTGTAATCATAAAGTGTACTGGAACAGGCATGCATCCATTGCATTACAATTCTTTTGAAATTTCATGAAAGTGTATCATTGATTTCACTCAGTTTAAAATGTCATCCCTCATACACTGTTTTGGAAACATTTGTTTGACTACTGAAAAATGAGGTAATTTATAATGCATAAGTATGTACAGTATACATCTGAGGTTCATGGACACATACAACTACTTTCTAAGGAATGAGTTTGGTTTACTTTTTTCCATAAAGAAGTAGATATTGACTCCTTTTTCAGATTTGTGATGACTTTCCAACTTCTAAATGTAAAAAAAAGCTTCTAGTTTATCCATTTAAAAAGGTAGTTTTAAAGCATTAAGTTTAAGCACTGTTTACTAGTAAAAGTATATATTTTTTTCAATGAAAACTTTTTCATTGGAAAATAAAATACTTCACAGACTTTAAAATAAATTCCTTGTTAAGCTCTGTGTCAGAGGTTTCTCCAGCAGGGAAGCTTGCACTCGAATATGCCTATTATACTTTAAACATTCTCAGAAACATGACACAAAATGTCAGATTGCTTTTGTACCTCATGATTCATATATTACGCTCCTTTGCCATAATGTGTTATTGCAGGAGGACCTGCACCCCTCTCCCCGGCTAATACACATCGTGCCACAGCAATGGAAATATAATGAATCCTCATGGGCTGAGGTGTCTCAGGGTACTTCTGTGCCACAAGTGGCTTCCTTCTGACCCTAGGAGATACACACTGAAATCTTCCATGCCAAGAGGCACCAGATACAAACATGGGGAAGTGACTGGAGTCACTTAAGGGGTTTGACTGGATCCCAGCAGTGGCTCCTGCTTGACGAATGACCAAAGCAGTATTAAGCCCTGGTGATATTTGTTGCTGCTCACACAACACCAGAGCCCTCTCCACATCAGGATGTAAAGGGTGTGTTTAGCTCTACCTGACAGTTGTTTTCCCTACAGACACCACTCTCCTCTTGCCCCACAAATAAGGGTGAGGGGCTACTTTGCTTTCTCTGAGTTGTGTTCAGAACTATCTGTAGTTCACTGTTTTCCATACTTTGGGCATTCAGCTCAAGCACGTTTCCCCCTGCTCAGTCTGTGTTCTGGATGGTTAGGAATGGCTGTGATGCTGTGAAGAATTTATCTGGAGGAGTCCTAAACTTATGCATAGCAGCTTGTAATATGGGGTGCAGTGCTCCTAATATAGATACCTTATCTGTTAAACAGAAGGAAGGATGTACACATATCCCTAAACACCCTTTAATGGAGTCAAGCCAGCAATCTATATATAAATTGTATTTCACACTGACAAATAATTTTCCTTCGATCCATTCAGGAAGATCTTAGTACAAAAATAATCATTTCCACTCATAAAAACTGCAGGGACATCCAAAATGTGGTAGACACTATCCAAAACCCAAAGGAAAATGCAAATCCGATAATTTTAATAGCTAATAACTATTAACAATTAAAACCAAAAACAACCTTTACAAAATCTGCAGGCGTAAAGCAATTATAATTTACAGCTTCAGAAGTCTGGAACAACAACACAAAACCTATTTAGCTGGATCAGGAAGGAGAGAGCGGTCACTGGGATTTGTACCTTCGTCCGAGTGGAGAGGTGACGAAAATGACAGTGAGGATTTTAAAGTCAGAACTGAAGGCGTGTGCTGGTCTCAGCACAACCCGGGCTTCTCAAAGCTCCATTTGCCTGCAAGGTTTGGTGCAGTATTCACCATGACGTGGCTACTGATCTGTGGGGAAGGAGGAGCACTGGGTTAAGAGGGGGAGTTAGTGCTCAGGACTCTGTTATCTCTTTGGGGGAACTGTTAGGAAATTAGTCATAGCTTTATCTCATACTGGAAATATTTTATCATGTAGCATGTGTTATCAGATCTAGATAGTGTTAAATTATGTTTTAAAGGCTTAATGTTTAGCTAATATTTAGTAGGTGCATACGTCTGTCCAAACTTTGAGTGAATGCACTTACAAATGGTAAGCAGACAAAATACTTTAAACTGCTTGAGCGTGATGGAGATTGCTGTGAAAACGCTGAAGTGGACCAAAGAATGGCTTATTTAATTTAATTTAATTACCAGTCTGTCACTTAGTGGGTCATTTTTGTTTGCTGGACCCTTTTTAGTCACAGTTGGTCCGTCAATCACTGCAGCAAATGCAAGGAACAAGTTTCAGAATTACATTTCGTTGTCTTGCTGTGGGTGGCAGTGGGAGACTGACCTCCACAACTTCACTCCAAGGGGATGGAGAGGCTCAGTTCAGAAAGAGCACCCAGAGGGAGATGTCTCTCAGAAATAACTTTAATGGCTCAAGTCTGCAAACTTGTGCAACTTGTACAACTAGCTGTAAGGTGAATAAAAGTTTCTTATTCCAGGAAAAGTAGCTGAGTCAGTGTGCAGAGCCTGGCTGGTGAGAGGAGTAAATTAAGAATAGCAAAGCTGTTTTTTTCCACAGGAAAATGAGCTAATGGGTTAAGTGCTGTGATGCTGAGAATGTCCCATCTCTGGGGAATTTAATAAGTGCAGATGAAAGGGTTCACAGTACCTAAGCTAATGTGCAGTGAAAGAGCATATGAAACGAATACCTAGATTGTCTATTAAATACTTGGTCTTACAGATAATAGCCAGGCCCGCTGAAATAGCTACATCACCTTGCATTAATACTGGGGGCGGGGGGAGGGAGGATAAAAGGAAAGGTGCATATTTCTCAGCAAATAGTGTCTTGATTTTGTTAGTGTTTGATAACAGCTTTCAGGACATTTGTTGTTAGTAAAAAACAGGAGCTGTTTTTATTGTGGTTGCTCAACGTGGTGTACGAACTGCAGGACCATGATTTAAACAGAAGGATAAAGTTATTCATCTTCATTTTACGCAAATCAGTCAGATGGCAAACTACAATAAAACAACTCACTGTTCGAAATTTCTCTGTTTCCACTCAATAACATGATCAATTCACCCGCTGGTTTCACAAGTGGGAGTCATGATATTTTGATGACATTTCCTAGGAGCAGTTTCTCTTCTGAGATCATGAGATAAGAATAGGATAAATTGTGCATTTAGTTGATCATGCCATTTGACTTTTAAAATAATCCAATCTAGGTCACATCAGGAAATAGATATGTTAACTGCTCTTTTATAAGTGATGTTTTTCTGTTACTCCTTTTGTCAAAAATATTTACTTTGGAGATACCTTTCCGAAAGCCGTTCTTGCTATGGCTACTGGCTGGCTGATCTCCCACAAAGACAAGAAATGAAACCCATTCAGTTGTACAGGTACCGTTCTGGAGAAGGAGTGTTAAGACTCAGAGCTCTGATGACCTGTCAGGTTTTTGAGCAGGGTCAGCTTGCTTTGACCAGTGACCCCTGTGCAGATGGGGCAGAGAAAGCCGGGCAAAACCCAGCTGGAGCTGGAGCTGCCTTTTCCCACTGAGGGACCCTCTCTACAGTGGAGAGATGCAGCGCTAGGACAACGTGATTTGCACTTCGTAGTCCCTGGGAGTGAATTTTGCCCATGAAATCACATTTTAAACAACGACTGGCTTAAGATGGCTCAATACAATTTTAATTCCTAATGGCTTCTGATATTAAATGAAGTCCAAATTGGTGTCACTGCTGAGGAAGAGTGTTCCAGTGGTTTTGGTGTTGTTGAGGGACTTGGGTGATTTATACTTAAATCTTCATTGATTTATACTTAAATCTTCATTCTGCTACTTGTTTTCTGTTTGGCCATGACTATATGAAATAGGATCTGAATCCCTAAAGACACTTTGCTGTCTAGAATTCACTTATTTAATATCCAGTGAAATCAGGAAGCATTGGACTAAAATGCAGAACTTCAAAAACTTTCTAGGTAGCTTTTTTTTTTTTTTTTCATTTTGCATCTTCAAAGGGGAATTGAAAGCACTTCCCTTTCCCTTGGAGTGTTGTGGTGATGCATACATTGAAGGCGTAAGTGCTCAGAAACTATGATCATGTCTATACTCTTGGTTTTGTCAATTACTCACTCTGCATTTATTTATCAGTCACTAGTATATATATGATAATTTCCTTCTCACAGGCTAATATTAACATCCCAATGGGAGCATTTCGACCTGGTGCAGGTCACCCTCATAAAAGAAAAGAATTTACACCTGAAGTGGAGGAGGTAAGAAAACACATTTTTTGGCTTCTTTGGAGGGGTGGAGAATCCCTAAAGTTTAGGTACGAAAGCCATTTAAATCAATTTTATAGCACAATTTACCAGTCCTAAGTACCACAGCTATTCCTACACTGATGACTCATGGAAATAACTAGCCACCTACAAAACACTTTGTATATACATAGTTCTGTTTCTGAAGTCAGGACATGTATAGCAATTTAAACCATTTCAAGGATGCTTAGCTCTACTTTAATAACAGGATGGTGACTACTGTGAGTAAGGAGAGCCAGGGTTTAATCAATAATATTTATCTAGACTGGAGTTAATGAAATACAGAAGATACAGCAAGGCATTTGAAGAATCCTTCACTGCCTGCGGCCCTGTGTAGTTCATTGTTACAGGTTAACAATATTCTGAATGATATTAAAGCATCCTATTTGCCATGAACTTCATAATAAATAAGAACCAAAACCAACTGTGGAGAAACAAGCTAGGAGGATACTCCAACTCAAGTAGACCCCCAAGCTAGCATGGGGGCTCAGAGTTGCTTGCCCAGTTACCTTAGTTTAGGAGCGTTGAACCCGGCCCGTGCGCCCAGGCCGGCTCTGGCAAGGCTCAGCCCTGCGCACAAAGCTGGACAGTTGGGCTTGGAGGGAAACCGAGCCCAGCACAGAGCAGAGCCCCAAAGACCATGAAGGGGCCGTGGTGATTAGCCTCTTCACTCCAGGCATGGAGCAACTGTGCTGGTGATTCATCCTCATCTCAGGAACAGCCAGATTAATTTCGTACCAATCACCATCTTCTTCCCACCTGTTACAACACTTAACACGTGCCATCTCAGGTACACAACAACTATTTCTTCCTTTGCTGTCTAAATAAGACAGTTTTTCTTTTTTTTTCTGAATTTGAATGTACTTCTTATAAATAGTAGCCTGTTTACCGAGAAAATTTCTGGAGAGATCAAAACCAGACGGATTAAACTATTTTCTTAAGAAGATATATTTTGAAGAAAAAGTGTACAAAGTGACCTTGAACACATATGGTGGCTTTTTCCCCTGGAAAGATATCAAAACATGTTCTGCAGTAATTAAAATGCTGAAAGAATGCATGTTATTAAGCAGAAACTAATATGGTATGTGTGAAGTCTGGTAGTATTTGAGAAATAGAATAAATGACTAGTGCTGATAATTAGATTTGGTTGGGTAATTGAATATTGCCTTGCTTTTCAATTGTGTGAATACTTTATATGATATAGACATTATGGGATGAAAATTTCTGGGATTTTATAGCCAATATTCAACCAAACAAATGGGAGTAAAGATTACAGAATAGGATCTTTAAAAAGAAATAGAATACAGATGCTACCAGCACAATTGTCTTTTCGGTTGCTTCATCTTGTAATTCCCCTTAATAAGGGGGAGGCAGGAATTTCAGAAAACAACACTCCTTGTTCAGTCAAAGCATTTCCTTGCATGTGTTTGCTTATCCTTGCCACATATCTAAGTCATTCTTCACACATTGCAGTGCAGCTGCAGTGGGGAGCATATGCAGGGGCATGGTTTTAATTCCCACAGATGTGAGAGTACAGCAGAAAGCTAACATGAATTTATAGAGTGTAAGATCTCCAAAATATGGCCAAAGTTCACACCATTTGTCTTATACGAAGGAATGGTGTAGTAGGGGGCTTGAAGCAGTATTTAGTTGTGAATCTGCTGTGTGTTAATTAAAAGAATGGGGTTTCCAGGTTGGTTGGTTTTCCTGATTATTCAGATTACCAAGCCGTGCAAGAAAACTATTTTACTATCCTTTAACTTTGCATATATTCCTTTAAAAAATGCGGAATAGGCTAGATAAATCTTAACCTCCTTACTGGAAAACGACACCTTCAAAACATTGCTCAGTCTAGAATAGAAATGGTCTGAAATACATTTCTCACCTCACCATGGAGCTGCAGCACAAATCAGCAAGTACCAGCAGTGAAATACTGTGGTCCATCAGAAGACTAGTTGAGATGACCTCTATTGTATAACAACTGTTATTTAGCATGCATTTTTTCCAGTGTCAGCAGAACTGCCTTTAGACACTACCATAAATCAAATGTTAAATAATAGAAATCCTTCTGGTCTTATGACTGGTGTTAAGAAAAAAATAAACATAATTTCAAGCTGAACTTGGGTGGAGATTTTGGCATCCATAACCTACAATGGTAACTGGTTTGCAAAGCTGCAGAGTTGCACGACATTATCCCTCCACAACCAGCCAACAACTGTGAGACTCTGTAAAAGATTAATTGATCTCTCTGCTTTTTTATCTCATAAAATAAAAGACCTGAGTGTTGCCTTTAATACTCCACTCAATTAACTCCCTGCTAATTGTATGGCACTGTAAATTTCTGCCCTCAAAAAGATCCAGACTTTCTGCAGCAAGTATCTTCTGATTTTCCTTTCAGAACGTGCTTGCACATCTTAAGGCAACAACCAACAATCCGACAGTCCACCCATTCTCCCTTTCTTGCACCTTTGAGGTTGTGACTGCATTTAGTGTGAAAAAATCCATTTGTGTTTCCCAAGTAAGCAACCTATGTTCATGCTCAAGAGATTTCTATGGTAGCAGTGAGGTGACTGGTTTCGTTTTGTGCAGGGTGTTCCTGCTTCCACAGAGGAGGAGAAAGACAAGAAACATCTCCCAGGAGCTAAGAAACTTCCAGGCCCTGCTGTCAACTTATCAGAGATTCAGAACATTAAGAGTGAGCTGAAGTTTGTCCCCAGAGCTGAACAGTAGTTGAAACAAGCGGGTGAGTAAAAGAGATGTTTCCTGCATGGCTCTAAGGAAAGCAGGTTGATCCACAAATTTTCTTTGTCAAAGGATGGCTTTCCAGTGACTCCAGAGGACCTGAAACTGTACCCTGTACTTCCAAGATAAAATGTAATTTGTAGAAGAAAAGGTCATAATCCTTAGAATTCTGCATTCTTTCAAACCCAGAGCATGAAGGAACCCACTCTCCCCTTCAGCAAAATGTATTTAGCTACTATGGCTATTGAAGCCAGTTTAAGCTTTTTACTTCATGAGCACAAGCTGCAGTTTTAATGAATACAGGACTTTTATTTGTACATACAAACTGCAAAGAAATTTATTACAGTGGTGGACAAGTAGGTCAGTATTTTTAAAAAGCGCCTTTAGAATATTAAAGTTTGAAGATTTGATCTTCATTTTACTTCTGCAGTTCAGAACTGACATGCTAATGGTTCCATGCACATGACAACCCAAATGTGCCTAGTGGTGCTCACAGTGACCAAGCACATACTGCATGGGGGAACATCTGTGCTCCTGCAGAGAGGCAGCTGGAGACCAGGCAGTGATCCTTGGGCATTGCAGACTGCATCAGACACCTATGGGTTGAGCCACTGGTCTATGACAAGTGCCACATATCTCACCTTTTCTCTTCTTTTTATTTTTTTTCTTAAAATATGTAGCAATTCACTGCAGATTGCAGAATTATTTTCATTTGATTTCACGCAAGGCCTAAAAACCTCTGTTGTCCTACGTTCTGAACCTTGAAACAATTAATGGTCATTTCCAGCAATGAATTCATTGTCTAATTCTCTTTGAAAAGCCTGAGTCAGTGAAGATCCATTAGGCAGTAACAATGAAACTTTGGCTGTGCAGATAAGTGGCAGTACAACAACCTAGCTACAAAAAGAGAAAGATATTTGTGTCACTTAGTAGTCACCTGAAGTGCCAATTGTGTCTACCTTTTTATCATGAAGAGAGGCAGAAGAGTTAGGCTGAGTAAAAGAGTATCATCTTGAATTTATTGCACAGAAACTTAAAAGAAGAACAAAGGAAAATAAAAATCCAATGCAAAAGGATTCTGTAAGCACAGAAATGCTATGGACTGGGGATCGTTAGAGCAATAGCATATAATCAGAATGAATTGCCCCAGTACGCACTACAGCATTAATTTATTTTTATGAACAGCATAAATATGCCATTTAGAAAGGAAAATGATCAGATTTTTTTTCTTGTTTTTACCCTGCTGTGTCATAATGTTCCTGTTATTTTAAAGAAACAACAGAGTCTTTCCCCTCAGAAAACTTGAAAAATTAACATTTTGGAAAATGTAACATTAGAGTGATCACACTAAATCAGTTCCCAGAGAAACAAGAATTTTTAATATGAGACTTTAAAGAGATGCTGTAAGAGATACTTGGACATAAGTATAACTCCATATTTAATTTCACATTACTGCTATTCTCAACGCTTACAACCGTTATTTTATAAGTGGTTTGCTGAGAATCCGACAAAACCATTATGGCATGCAGAGAGGTTTACATTTCCATGGGAATGGTTACCCATGTGGAGAGCATCCCGAAAGTTGTGAGGTCACCCTGAGGCCCCTTTCTGTCCGTCCTTCTCATGGGGCTGCCTCCACTGTCAGGTGTGTCAGGATGACCCAGGTGGGAGGGCTCATCACGGCACTTGGAGGAGGCAGAGGGAGGCAGAAAGGAGAGAGGGGGAAGGCAATCCTGAAGGGAAGGCTGTAGGAAACAGCGTTTGCAGCATGCCTACTCATTTTGTTAGTGTAGGAAAGACTGCTTTGTTGATTTTAGATAGTAGAGTCACAGATTGTATCTGAAAAATCACATTTCAAAATGGTATCAGACATGGTACTTAATGGAGATGAGGAGTTTGGTTTTAGTTCCTTGCAGCAATACAGTGTATATTTTTTACATGGTCCTAAAATTCACTAAGGCTAATAGCTATTGCTATTTGGTAACACTATAGACAAGAAAATCTGCTCAAATACCACTTTCCTCTTACACAGGTACTAGGTTTAGAGTCCTTATATTCGGAAATGCCCTAAACTCCTTTTAGGACACAGTGGCATCCTTCTGTTATTTTCCTCTTGCTTTTATTCCTCAGTGCCATAAAAAGACCAACCTGACTGTGGATGAATTCATATCCTTTTCCTTCTTGCTAAAGTATCAGTGAGCAGGTTGTTAATGAATAAGAGAACTCTAAACTTACAGCTTGCTTGAACCCTTTTCCCAACAGCTCCTTAGAAATCTAGTTAAGTATTTTGTTGTTACAGGCACACTTCTTGTAGGTCCTACATCGCTTTCAGCTTCTGTGATTGTCTCAGATATGCATATACAGCTCCAAAGAATTGGTGGTATTAAAAGAGACTGATCTTTGTCAAATGAAGCAGGTGAGAATTTAATTCGAAAGAATTCTAAAGAAAACCCTTCACAATCTATCTGTAACACACACACACACACACACACACAAAAAGAGCTGAGACTTGAAGTCTCCTGCCTTAACTTGCTTGACTGATTTTGATCATTGCTCAGAAATCAAGTGCTACTTTATTCACATTTAATTCTCACTGGATAGTCTGGGTGAATTGACCATGAAGGGTTCACGACTTGATGATTCAGGCCTAGAGGAGAAACCAATCAATTTCCATGCTAAATAAACCAAACCAAGCATGTACATAAGTTCTAAATAAAACTGAAATGTAAAGCAATTGCTTGCCTCATTCAGCAGCCTCAAGAGGTACTAAATTTAAGAATTGTCCCCTGTAGGGAACACTAGCTAGTTCAATTGCTTTAGCCATGACCTGCAGCCTTGTTCAAGTCTTGATATAGTTAGGGAATTGTTATGTGGATGACAATGCCAAAACAGCGAGGATTATCTTTATTTTTAAGAAATTCACACTCACATCTGCCCTGTACTTGAACACTTCATAAAATCATTGATTTTACAAAAATTGATCAACAGAATATGCCTGTGAAGAGTCTATACTGGATGGATTAATGCATTTTTAGTTATTTAAAATTCGGAAATTAATCATCTCTCACATCAGTACAACAAATTCTTATCAAACGTGAACATTGAGGGATTACCTTTGCTGATAATTTTATATTTCTTCTGGTGCTCTGTAGGAAATATCCAACAAAACTGATATAAACTGATATAATAACCCCAATTTTCTAAATAATTTCCTTTATGCTATGATCCTATAACCTGCTATAATATCGAAAATAAGAAACATGAAAAACAGGAAGCTAGTTGGTCAAAGTAACATTGAATGCAACAACCCTTAATTATTTACAAATTCATTGCTACCTGATTTGCCACTTAGAATATTTGTGTTAAATAGCCTTAGTTTTGCTCTTTCACCAGTTTGAATCACCAGACACGCATAGGCATGCTTAGATCATAATTCTGAGTCTAACAGGTTGTGGGAGGCATATAATTAGTAAGATGTCATAAAATTGGATCCATTAGGTCATAAAGTGCTTATCAGCTAAGATATTCCCTCTGTCATCCCTTGCTGCTGATCTGTCTTCTATAATAAATTAATTAGCATACTCTCTCATAAAGATTTTTTTCTTCCATTAAACTCTAGATGATGTGTTTGATGTAGCTAATTCGGATATATAAAATGAGCTCTGTTGTGATTTGTTTTCCTTTTATTCAGCTACATTTTTTTTCTTTTTGTTACTCCCTTAGTATTCTCACATTTCTACACGCACAACAGGCAAACATACGCAACATAAAATAGCAGCAAAATAACAGATATCAATCAGCTAAATACACTTCCTGTTGCAGAAGTACTGGTAGGAAGCATACAATTTGTGACAAGTGGATCATGAGATGGCTGTGGCTGATTGCTGATGGTGGCAATACCTCATGTGATAACTTGTGTGGTGATTGTACCTGAAAATGTGACTGAGCACAACTGGTATTTCACCTACTTGTGTATATTAACTGCAGTGATTTTCTAAGCTCACGACTGGGCTCTCTCCTCATTCTGTACCCCTTCATACTGGTGTCCTCAAGTGTGGTGATTTGGGTAAGAAACTCTTTCAGGACTTCAGTGAATGTGTCTTGCAGGACCACAGTCCCCATCTTGTTCAAAATGTGAGAAATTTGCAGCAAACAGCTGTGGATAAGCTGTGGGTAAGCTGTTGGCTTCACTGTAATAGTGAGAGGGGCTTAAATCCCCAAGCATAGGGTTAATGCTATTGTCAAGTTATAGAAGACATGAAGGTGTATTTTGAGGGTGTAAGAATAAGCATCTAGCACAGCCTTTCCAGGGCAGCTTAGACTTTGCCTCGCTTGCAGCACTGCCTCCTCTGTACCATATTAGGAGCCTTGCCTTACGGAAGATGAGGAACCTTGTCAGCAGAGCAGCCTCTTGAGACTGGCAGCACTCGGAGAAGAGAGAAAAAGGGAAAAATACAGAGGGCCCTAGAGGACAGAGTGCTTAAATCCATACTTACAAGATGTTCCTTGGAGCTGCTATTAATTATTTACAAAAAAATGTCAATCAACCCAGCCTAAAAATACCCATTGTAATTTTTTTCCCATTGAGTACTGTGGCAGTTAGTTATGGTTTTATCCTGTATGCTGCTATAAAGTATATAGCTGCAATCTCAGTTGAAAAGGATCCATCCACCATTTCCTGTGTTGCTATTCTGATCCATTTCAATCACTGAGTCTGACAGAGTGAAAAGCAAAGTTACTGACATCTTCTCCAGGAAACACACCAAGTTGCTTGTTGAAGAACACTGATAACGGTACGAGCTCTTGAAATTGCCCCAGAGTTTCAAGAAGATGCATTAATTTCATTAAGTACAAGTAACGATCCTTCATTTGAGAAAAGGGAGTTTTAAATCCAGTGGATACTGGTATGGGTCAAGAGTGAAGATTGCCTTAGCTGGAGTGGAAATGACAGGATCAAGAATGAGGATATGATTGCAAGAATTTCTGCC